TGCTCTGCAGCATGTGGGAACTTCCCAGACCAAGGATGGAACCTGCGTCCTCTGCATTGGCAGGCGGATTCTTAATCACCGCGCCACCAGGGAAGTCCCTGTACAGTTCTTTTTTTAAAAAATAAATTTGTTTATTTATTTATTTTTGGCTGCATTGGGTCTTCGTTGCTGCGTGCGGGCTTTCTTTAGTTGCGGTAAGCACGGGTTTCTCACTGCAGTGGCTTCTCTTGTTGTGGAGCACGGGCTCTAGGTACGTGGGCTTCAGTAGTTGTGGCATGTGGGCTCAGTAGTTGGGCTCGCGGGCTCTAGAGCGCAGGCTCAGTAGTTGTGGCAGACGGGCCTAATTGCTCTGTGGCATGTGGGATCTTCCTGGACCAGGGCTCGAATCCGTGTCCCCTGCATTGGCAGGCAGATTCTTAACCAATGTGCCAGCAGGGAAGTCCCTGGTTCTTTATATTTACCCACATATGTCACTTTTCTGGTGCTCTCCATTTCCTTCTGTAGAGTCAAGTTACCACTGGTGTTATTTCCTTTCACTGTGAAGGACTTTATTTATATTTCATGTAAGTCAGGTCTGCTAGCAATGAATTCTCTCAGTCTTTATCTGGGAAAGTTTTTATTTCATCTTCATTTATTTTTTTAAATTCAATTTACTTAAACTAAAAAAATAATCCATTTGTGAAGGATAATTTTTTTGGACATAGAAACTTTTGTGAACAGGTTTTTTTGGTTTTTTTTTTCTTTCAGCATCTTGATTATGTTATTCAAATGCCTTCTGGCCTCTGTTGTTTCTGTTGAGAAAAGGCTTGTCAGAACTGTACTTAAGAGTTCTTTTTTTATTTTTTGGCTGCACTGTTTGCGGGGTCTTAATTCCCTGACCAGGGATCGAACCCAGCTCCTCAGCAGTGAAAGCACCAAGTCCTAACCACTGGACCACCAGGTAATTCCCCTTTTTTACTTTTTATTTTGGCCGAGAACTCTACTTGTGAGTTCCGATGTGCTGTTTTTCTCTTGCTGCTTTCAAAATTTTCTGTGTTTTAGGCTTTCAACAGTTTGATGATAATGTGTCCAAATGTGGATTTCTTTATGTTTATCCTACTTGGAGTTCTTTGGATCTGTAAATGAATGTTTTTCCTTAAAATTAGGACATTTTTTGGCCATTATTTCTTCAAATATTTTTTCTTTCCCTCTCTCTTTTTTTCTTTCTGAATTGCTGGGTCATATGGTAATTTTATGTTTAACTTTTTGAAGAAGCACAAAACTGTTTCCAGAGTGGCTGCGCCATTTTACATTCCACCAAGAATGTATGAGGCTTCCAGTTTCTCCACATATTTGCTGACACTTGTTTTCACTTCTTTTTTCAATCATAGCCATCCTAGTGGGTATGAAGTGGTAACTCATTGTGGTTTTTTTTTTTTTTTTTTTTTTGCGGTACGTGGGCCTCTCAGTGCTGTGGTCTCTCCCGTTGCGGAGCACAGGCTCCGAATGCGCAGGCTCAACGGCCATGGCTCATGGGCCCAGCCGCTCCGCGGCATGTGGGATCTTCCCGGACCGGGGCACGAACCCATGTCCCCTGCATCGGCAGGCGGACTCTCAACCACTGCACCACCAGGGAAGCCCCTCATTGTGGTTTTGATTTGTATTTCCCTAATGACTGATGACATAATGACATTGATTTTTTTTAGCTTTATTGAAATATAACTGACCTATAACATTGTGTAAGTCCTAGGTCTACAACGTCTTGATTTACTACACTTATATATTGCAAAATTATTACCACCATAGTTAACTAGTACCTCCATCATGTCACATAATTACCATTTCTTTTCTGTTGTGAAAACATTTAAGATCTACTTTTGGGACTTCCCTGGTGGTCCAGTGGTAAAGAATCTGCCTTACAATCCAGGGGACGCTGGTTCGATCCCTGGTCAGGGCACTGAGATCCCACATGTTGTGGGGCAACTAAGCCCGCGCAGCACAACTACTGAGCTCGCACGCCTCAACTAGAGAGAGAAACCCGGCATGACACAGCTAGAGAGAAGCCCGTGCGCCACAACAAAGAGCCCGGTTCCGCAATGAGAGATCCCACATGTCTCAATGAAGATGCTGCAACTAAGACCCGACACAGCCAAAAATAAATGAAATAAATAAATAAATAATAAATCTTTTAAAAAATCTACTCTCTTAGTAATCTTCAAGTATATAATACAGTATTATTAACAATGAATCTTCAGAACTTATTCACCTTATAACTGGAAGTTTATACCCTTTGAACAATATCTCCCCATTTCCTCCACCCCCTCATCCCCTGAAAACCACCAATCTACGTTCTGTTTCTACGAGTTCAGCTTTTTTAGGTTCCACATGTAAGTGATATAATGACATTGATTTTGTCATGAACTTTTGATCATTTGTATCTCTTCTTTGGAGAAAAGTCCTTTGCCCATTTGTTAATAGGGTTGTTTGCCTTTTTGTTGTTGGGTTTTAAGAGTGCTTTTCACATTCTGGACAGGAGACTCATCACCTATATCATTTGCAAGCATATTCTCCCATTCTGTGGGTTATCATTTCACTCTCCTGATATTGTCCTTTGATGCACAATAATTTTTAATTTTGATGAAGTCTAATTTACCTATTTTTCTTCTGTTGCTTATACTTTTGGTGTCTTATCTAAGAAATGATTGCCAAATCCAAGGGACAATTTTTTTTGGACACTATCAATTGTTTATTTTTTATTGAAATATAGTTGATTTACAATGTTGTATTAGTTTCTGGTATATAGCAAAGTGATTCATATATATATATATATATATATATATATATATATATATATATATTATTCTTTTCCATTATAGGTTATTACCAGATACTGAATATACAGTATAATATTCCCTGTACTATACAGTAGGGCCTTGTCGTTTATTTTATATGTAGTAGTCTGTATCTGCTAATCCCAAACTCTTAATTTATCCCCTCCACTTTCCCCTTTGGTAACCATAAGTTTGTTTTCTTTTTTTTGCGGTACATGGGCCTCTCACTTTTGTGGCCTCTCCCATTGCGGAGCACAGGCTCCGGACGCGCAGGCTCAGTGGCCATGGCTCACGGGCCTAGCCACTCCGCAGCATGTGGGATCTTTCCAGACCGGGGCACGAACCTGCATCCCCTGCATCAGCAGGTGGACTCTCAACCACTGCGCCACCAGGGAAGCCCATAAGTTTGTTTTCTATATCTGTGAGTCTCTTTCTGTTTCATAAATAAGATCATTTGTATCATATTTTAGGTTCCACATAACAAGTGATATCATATGGTATTTGTCTTTGTCTGACTTACCTCACTTAGTATGGTAATCTCTAGGTCCATCCATGTTGCTGCAGATGGCATTATTTCATTCTTTTTTATAGCTGAGTAGTATTCCATTGTATATATACTTGTATATATCTGTATACTGCATCTTCTTTATCCATACATCTGTCGATGAACATTTAGGTTATTTCCATGTCTTGGCTATTGTAAATAGTGCTGCTATGAGCATTGAATCCAGTGTTATGAGATGATATTGAAAGGAAGGAAAAGTGGCCACAAGCTCTAGGTTCTGGCATACCTGGACATCTGTCCCTCCTGCTGCCAGTGAAGAAAAAAGTCCATGGCTAGCAGAGAGAATGTTTTAACTTCTAGTCCTTCAAACAGTCTCCATGGTATAAACACTGACTCAAAGGAAGACTCCTGAAGAGCGTGGTTGCCAAGAGTGGTGGGATCTAAGTTGGCTTTTTATTTTCCTTAGGGGTTCCCACTGCACCTGAGCCACCACTCATGCCCGTGCTCCTCCTTGGGCTTTTGCTCCACGGAAATGCACCCAGTGTCAGCAGCCCACATCCCATGCTTCTTTCATCAGATATTATAACTCCACTAAATGCCAAGGAATTGTGAGTGGGATGGCGTCACAGTGGTAAACAAACTGACATAGACTCTGCTCTCAAAATGCTCCTTCTGTAGTAGGAGAAAGGGGATTTTAAAAAGTAGATACAAAAAAAAAAATAAATACAACTTGTGCTAAATGTGAGCACAGTGTCTAACTACTCCCTTCAGAAATGCAGGAGAGAAACGGATGTGGCCCACTGTCTCATTCACTCCACCTACCTAACGCTCTCTAAATATGGGAGTTCCAAAATGTAATGCCCTGTTGAAAAGATACGAATCCTTTCTTTTTTTTACACCTTTCCTTTGGATTTATTCTTCTTCACAAGTGAAGCAATTACTATTAGAATTCTTTTAATTGGGCTCAAACATTGCAATGCATGAATCCTTTCTATAGCCTGCAAGGTCCTGCTTCTATGCCCCAGATCATCACTGACCCCACAGAAGCATCTAGACATTGATGTCTAGAAACATCTCATGTTTCTATAGAGCATTTTATGAGAGAGGGCGTATGGTATATAATAATTAAAACTGGTCTGAAATGCATGCCCTTGGGCCCAGTCCTTTCTGGGAGTCCCTCCAAAGGAAATAACGGGGTCTTTAGGAAAAAGCTGTACTGCTAAAGATAGTTACTATAACTTTGTATGTTCAATAAACAAATTCAGTACTCAGTTTTTATGTTGCTAATGTGAGCAAATGACTTGACCTCATTGGGCATCATGGGTAAAATTGGGTGATAATCTCTACCTGAAAAAGTTTATGAGGACTAAATATCTGAGGAAATATCTGCCTAGCACTCGGCCTGACAAAGAGCAGGTGTGTTCTCTATGGGTTCACTTCACCTCCCCTTTCTGACCGTACTGCATTGTATTACATACCTGAATAGGTACACAGGAATCTATATAGCTTTTATATTCCCACCACTCCCCTCTCAGTGGACTGAATTTGCCCAGGGACCTCTCGTCCTCCTCTCCTGGCATGCTGAGTGGTAGCATTCAGGTGTTGAATGGTTGGACTGTCCTAACCTCGACCACTGTCAAGTGTCCTTTCCCCGGTGCTAGCCCGCCGCCTCTCCTGGTTCCCAGGCACCCCAGCCTGCGGTCCACGTGCAGGGGCAGGAGCCGCTGGCCGCCTCCATGCTGGCCGCAGCACCCCCGCAGGAACAGAAACAGATGCTGGGTGAGTGACCCACGGGCTTGCAGAAGAGGAGGCCAGAGCTGCTACTGACCTGGACACCAGCGTCCCTTCTCTACTGGGATGCCACTGGGTTTTTCACGGAATACCTTCCCACAGGTGAACGTTTGTTCCCGCTCATCCAGACGATGCACTCAAACCTGGCTGGGAAGATCACGGGGATGCTGCTGGAGATTGACAACTCGGAGCTGCTGCACATGCTGGAGTCCCCCGAGTCTCTCCGCTCCAAGGTGAGCAGGTTCCCAGACCCCCGCGGCTTCCGCTCACTCGGCTCAGGAGGGCAGGGGGTGGCCTTGGACACCCAGGGGCGGCAGAGAGAAGGGTCTGCTGCCCCTGTGACCTCCTCGTGCCTCGCCTGTGACCTGAGGGCTGCTGGCGCGTGGGTATCTGGGAAAGCGGTCAGCACCAGGAGAGGCCACCGCTGGGCCTGGGCACCAGGGAGGGGCGGAGGGGCTCTCCTCAGGTGTCACTGACCACCTGGAGCTTCTCACAGGTGGATGAAGCTGTGGCGGTCCTACAGGCTCATCATGCCAAGAAAGAAGCTGCCCAGAAGGTGGGCGCTGTTGCTGCTGCTACCTCTTAGATAAGGACAAACCGTGTGTTTGGCCATTTCATTTCCTGCGATGGTTTTGATTTACAATCATCATCCTAAAAAGGCAGAAGGAGGAGGGAACGGAGAGAGCCTTGCTTCTGTTACTGCTTATCCTGCCCACTTATCCTGTTACCTTTGTGCCTTATCTGTCATCTGAAGTTAGAGAAAGGAGGGGATAAGCTGTGAATTATAAAGGGCAAACAACAGTTTCCACTGTGGTTTTCTTCTGACACCAATCAATTCTACAATTCTCTGACAACAGCGGGGACCCACCATTTCAATTCAGTTCTGATACCACGGACCCCACAGGTTAAGGGCTCAGTCCCACAAGACTGCCCCTACTTCAGACACCAGCCACAAATGGGGTCCCTATGCTACCCACCCTTATGCTCAGCCAACTACAAATTTGGGTTCCCATGAACCGCACGCCCCCCAGGTTTGAAAATTTGCAAGAATAACTCACAGAACTCAGGAAAGAGGTATACTTAAGATTATAGATTATTATAAAGGACACAACTCAGGAAGAGTCAAATGGAGGAGAAGAATAGGGCCAGGTGTCAGAGGAAGGAGATGCGGAGCTTCTTTGCCCTCTCCAGGCACACCACCCTCCCAGCACAGCCATGTGTTCACCAGCCCAGAAGCTCCCCAAACAAACCGCATTTAGAATTTTTACATGTGGTTTCACTATCTAGGCATGATTGATTAAATCATTGTCCATTGGTGATTGAACACAATTTCCATCCCTTTTCCCCTCCCTGAAGGTCAGGGGTTGGAGCTGAAAAGTTCCAACCCTCTAGTCATGCGGTTGGTTCCTCAGCTGACCAGCCCCCATCTAGAAGCTATCTAGGGGCCTGTGATAGATAATTTTATATACCTACTAGACTATGTCATAAGGTGCCCAGATATTGGCTAAACATTGTTTCTGAGTGTGTCTGGGAGGGTGTTTCTAGATGAGATTAACAGTTGAATAAGTGGACCCAGTAATGCTATTGCCCTCTGTAAGGTGGGTGGGCCTCATCCAGTCCATGGAGGGCCTGAACAGAACCAAAGGTGGGGGAGAGGAGAATTAGCCCTTTCATCTGCCTAAATGACTGAGCTGGGACATCTCAATTCATCTCTTCCTGCCCTTGAACTGGGATTTATACAATTGGCTCCCCTGGTTCTCATAATAAATCTCTCCATATGTATCTATATGACGTATATATATTTCTCCTATTGGTTCTATTTCTCTGAAGATCCCTAACTAATACAGGACCCCACTATGCGTCACCACCTTAGGGTAAACTCAGGTATGGTCAAAAGGGTTCATTATGAATTTTAAAAGGCCCTCCTAGGGCTTCCCTGGTGGTGCAGTGGTTGAGAATCCGTCTGCCAAGGCAGGGAACACGAGTTCGAGCCCTGGTCCGGGAAGATCCCACATGCTGCGGAGCAACTAAACCCATGCGACACAGCTACTGAGCCTGTGCTCCAGAGCCCACGAGCCACAACTACTGAACCTGTGTGCCACAACTACTGAAGCCCGCATGCCTAGAGCCCGTGCTCCACAACAAGGGAAGCCACTGCAATGAAAAGACCGCGCACCGCAACAAAGAGTGGTCCCCGCTCACCACAACTAGAGAAAGTCCATGAGCGGCAATGAAGACCCAACACAGCCAAAAATAAATAAATAAATAAATAAATAAATAAATAAATAAATAAATTTATTAACAACAACAAAAAGGCCCTCCTGTCATTCAGGAAATTTCAGGAGTTTTAGGGGCTCAGTGCTAGGTACTGGGGACAAAGACCAAATATATATATATATATATTATACCATATCCACATAAAGGACACCTGGTCAGGTTCCTCTCAAGAGTGACCTGTTGGTCTGGAGTAGAGACAGTTTCACAAGGGGATCTTGTAATCAGATCTCACAGCCTCATTTCTATGAGCAGTACCCCTCTGGTTTGGCCTAAGGATGCTGAGGTTGGCTGTGTTTGCACCCACTGCTTAGCTCTGGGAACACAGCAGACACAGGCCTTGTTGTCAAAGAGGGAGACAGACACACACGTGACTACAGTCACAGGGTGTGTTTCAGTCAACTGTTGGACTTGGAGGCCATGGCACCTCTCTGAGGGGTAAGTAGGACCTCCAACAAGGACAGGTGGATGCCTCCAGATGGAGAAAGGAGAGAACCAAATGGGCAGAGGCAGAGTCAAGAGAATCAAGCACATGGTAAGGGCCAGGGCTTGTGTGGTGGTAGGGCTTGACTTGACGTGGCCATGGCCCCTTGTGAAGGGCTCTAGGAGCCTTGTCATCAGTAGCACTGATTAAGAAGGGAACTCTAGGGCTTCCCTGGTGGTGCAGTGGTTGAGAGTCCGCCTGCTGATGCAGGAGACAGAGGTTCGTGCCCTGGTCCGGGAAGATCCCACATGCCACGGAGCGGCTGGGCCCGTGAGCCATGGCCACTGAGCCTGCACATCTGGAGCCTGTGCTCTGCAACAGGAGATGCTCGCAAGAGTGAGAAGCCCGCGTACCACAAAAAAACAAAAACAAAAAAAAAAGAAGGGAACTCTAGAGAGTTGAGGTTTGTTTTGATGAAAGATCATCCTGGGAACAAGTCAGAGGGCAGACTGGAGGGAGAGAGTCACCATCAACTCTTCCTTAGTCTCGACTGCATTAACTTCCTGGTCTCCAGGTTTCCATCGAAATCATTCTGGGCATAGTAGTCAGAGCACGGTTTTATTTTTTTATTTATTATTTATTTATTTGGCTGCGTCGGGTCTTAGTTGTGGTTTGCGGGATCTTTCATTGTGGCACACAGGCTCTGTGTTGCGGCGCAGGCTCTTTGTTCGAAGCTGTGTCCCCTGCATTGGAAGTTGAATGCTTAACCACTGGACCACAAGGGAAGTGCCCCAGAGCATTGTTTTCAAACATAAATGTGAGAATGTAACTCCCTATCACAACCTTCAGTAGCTTCTCAAAGCCCCCAAATCCTCCACGTGGTTCACAGGGCCCTGCATCAAGCAGCCCCTGCCCACCTTTCCTGCCTGATGTTTCATGCCCTTTCCCTCCCCAGCTCCCACACCTAGCCTTTCAGTTCATTTAATCCGCAGAAGTTGTCTCCTCTCCCTGAAACCCTTTTCCCTGCTCCATCCTCTCTCTGGCTCCTCTTCCTCCAGGTTTCAGCTTAAATGTGGCCTCAGGGAGGTCTTAACCAACTGCTGTATCTAAAATAAGTGGCCCCATTACTTTGTACCACTTAAGTCAATCAATGATTTATGTATTAGGTGATTTATTCCAAGAGTCAGCAAACGCTTTTCCCAAAGAGCCAGATGGTAAATATTTCAAGCTCTGTAGGCCCTGGGTTTGCCCTTGCATCCTGAAAGCACCCACAGATCAATACTAAAAGGAATGAGCAAGACTGGATTACAATAAAATTTTTTTGGAATTTTTTAAATGAAAATTGAATTACGTATAATTTTCACATGTCACGAAATATTATTCTTGCTTCGTTTCTTTTTCTTATCTATTTTTTTCCAGCTCTTTAAAAATGTAAAAATCATTTGTAGCTCCCGGGTTGTCCAAAAACAGACGGGCAGGATGGCCCGCGGACCGTAGTTTGTTGGTAGTTTATTACTTGCGGACACCGGCTGACTCCTCACAGGATTGTTTTCAGCACCACGGAACGCGGGCAGCGCCGTTAACCCACCGAGATACACCTGTACAGCGCCCGCCGCTCACAGGGAGCCGGAGGCGGGCTGGGCCTAAGCGCGAGTGGGCGGGGTCTGCGAGAGCGGTACCCGGGGGCGGGGGCCTTGGAAAAGGGGGCGGGGCCTTGGAAAAGGGGGCGGGCTGGGCGTAGGCTTCCGGCGGAAGAGTGCGGGAGCAAGATGGCTACTACCAAGCGGGTGCTGTACGTGGGTGAGCAGGCGCGGGCTCTGGGTGGAGTCTGGGCGAACCGGGCAGCTAGTGGGTCGTGGTGTGGAGCTGGACAGGTCTCCGGGCGCGGAGGGCGGCGAGCAGCTGTCTAGGCCGTATCTTTGGCAGTTTTGCTTGGCCTCAGCGTGTGAGCCTGAGACGTAACGATCTTTGCAGCTCTTCCAAGTCCGCCAAGCTCTGACAGGAATCTCTTCACCTCCTGGGCCTGGGGCAGTGGTGGAGGAATATTAAGGACTCTGAATCCTCGCGCCCATTCACTTTATGTTCACAGCAGTGAGGGCTCAGCCCCCGCTGTTGCCCTAAGCAAGAGTTCCCAGACTAGCCGGCTAAAAATGGGAATAACCTCAGTAGCACAGTTTGATGAGCGCTTTGGTGGGGACGGACACTGGTGATATGGGCCTGGGTGCGGGGAGAAGTGACCCCTCCATCTGGAGAGGTGAGAGCAAGCTTTGAGGATGCGGTGACGCCACAGATGAGCCGGAGTTAGCCAGGTAGCCGAAGTAGAAGCAAGTGTGTTTACTGAAAGGGAGCAAAATCCCAAAGGTGTGAAATAGCCTGACACTTGGAGGCAAGTGTATCATTTTGCGGGGAATCAAAGGGAAAGAGGCTGAAGAGGTGGGCAGGGGCTTATGAAGAGCCTTGCGTATACTGCTAAGTTTATACTTTATCCTTAGGACAGGGGGAAACCTTTGAAGTAGTTTAACCAGGGAAGTGATGGGTTAAAATCTGCACATTCCCGGGATCTTTCTAGTTGGCTTTGTGGAGGAGAGGAAGGTCAGTTATGAAGCTATTGCAGTAATCCTGGGGCTAGATGAGGGTCTGAAAGAAGGGTGAAGAGAGGGGTGTGCATCATAAGTAGGTGTGAGGGAGCATATGAGAGGGATGTTTATGAACCCAAAGGACTGGATGGAAAGACCCCTCCCCTTGGTGGTAGCATGCTAACTTTACAGCGGGGACTTCTCAAGATGGGCGGAGTCTTGAGAGAATAGAGGACAGTGTCTCAGAAGGCCCTTGGCTTCTTTGCAGGTGGACTTGCAGAGGAGGTGGATGACAAAGTTCTTCATGCTGCTTTTATCCCTTTTGGAGACATCACAGATATCCAGATTCCTCTGGATTATGAAACAGGTAAGTCTTTTTAGTGTCTCGCCTGCTCAGAATCCTCCTGTAAGGAAAGGAACTTAAAAAAATTTTTTTAAGTCATATCACAGTGCATTCTAAATATGCATTGGGCAGCATGACAGTGGTCTTGGTGCAGAAGGACTGTTCCGAGGCTTGTGATTGTGAGCTGTAACATGCTTTGCAGAGAGTCCCATCTGTTGCATTTGAGCAAAGACAAACTTTTCAGTTAGCCAGTAGGAAGATAGGTTTTGAGCTACGTGGAGATCTGTTGTTTTGAACTACCTGCCAGGCGCTCTAGCGCACCTGCTCCTTTCTTGGCGGGTGTGCTATTAAACAGGGTAGCAGGAAAGCCCAGCTTCAACAGTGGGGCCTTAGCCTCTGTGTACCTGGGGGTAACCTTTCCATCAATTAGTATCACATTTGTAGTTCAGTTTTCTATTTTAACCTTTGTTGTCATTTTTAAGATTGGAGTTTTAGGCCCAGCTCTGATAGGGATAGAGTACACAGCTAGTTTAGAAATCCCACTAGGGGATCATAGATAGAGAGGGAACTTTGGCAGACTCCTGTACGTTAATGATCACTCAAGAAAGCAGGCTTGCTTAACAACAAAACTATACATCAAGTCAGTGATGCCTGCATCCTGCTGGTTGAGGTCAGTAAGTTAATGATCCCTAGGACATGCTTCTCTGCACACACTAAAAACAAAAAACATAGGGGAAAGGTGACATTATGCTGAAACCTGAGGTGATTTACCATATTTTAGTGTATATTACCGCCTTTTTGCTCATTTCCATAGCGCCATGACAGTCCAGGTTGGACTAGATAGGGTCAAAAACTCCCTTGCCCAACCTGTAGGAGGAGTTAATTATGGAAGACTTGAAGAATGAGGAAGAAGGTGGTCTTCTGCCCCTCCCCACTTTTCCTTTAATTATAAAACTGTATGTAGCCCACTGAGTTCTCTGTGGGGCACTCTCCTTTCCTGCCCCCTTGTATCTCTCACAAGCGTCTTATACTAATAAATCACTTCTTGCCTGTCACTTTGCTTCTCACTGAATTCTTTCTGGGCCAAGACAAAAGAACGTGAGCTTCATTAAGTCCTAAGATGTGTTTTGAGGTTTTAGCAACCTATGCTCTACTGAGTCCCGAGTCGAGTTGTGTGTTTCAGCTTTGTCATCAACCTTGCATATAATTTTAACCTCCCTGGGATCTTTATATGTTATAAAAATGATAAGGTTATATTGACTCTCTAAGGTTAATTGGTTAATTAAACTAGTGCTGTTGTGCACTTGGCCTTTCTACTTAGATTAGTGTTTTGCTGAGGGTAAAGACAGTGTCCTTACCCAGGTTTTAGGATTCATGCTTTATGCACAGTTGATGTTCAAAATGTATGGTTGGAATGAATAATTGATAGGTTAAATGACTTCATTTTTCTAGCTCCTGCATGCAAAGGTTAAGGTTTTAATTTGGCTTTGGTAAAAGAATTGAATGCTGCTTTTAGAGATTAAAACTGTAGTTGATTATTCAGCTATGTTCACTACAGAACAGTTTAATATTGCTTGAAATGCTATTTAAACTAGAAAGAATCAAAGAATAAGATTCCTTCTTCCTAAAGAGTGATTGTGTAGAATTTCGAATGAATGGATAAGGCATGCAAGTGACTTCACCTTCCTTGTGACCACCTGCTTCCTCCCATTGCCCCACATGATAATTGCTTGGCTTTGTTTGCCTTTTTTCAGAAAAGCACCGAGGATTTGCTTTTGTTGAATTTGAGTTGGCAGAGGTGAGAAAATTCTGTTACCTATGTTAAGTCTTTGGCTTGTGTTATTATTGTTACTGATTACAAAGGGAGCTGTTCTCCATTTGGTTGGGTTTTGGGGTGCTGATGCTTCCAGAGAGATAAGAAGTGCTATTTGAAGGAAAGTTTCCCTCACTTAATCAAACTGTAGGCTGTGGTTAACATCGCAGACAGGTCCTACGCCTCTTGCTCTGCAGAGCTCTTGTGGCACTGGTGATTATTTCTTTGTCTTCCACTAAAGAGCCAATAGCTGAAGTCACCCAGGAAGTGCACTTTGTTAGACACATACAACCTAGGCAAGGAGTATAAATAGACCTTTTCCTGTGAGGTTGGGGTTTTTTTTGGCTACTGAGTATGTTTAGACACCACAAGAAGCATTTGACTGCAAGCCTAAACTTTTTTTTTTAATAAATTATTATTATTATTATTATTTTCTATACAGCAGGTTCTTATTAGTCATCCATTTTATACACATCAGTGTATACATGTCCATCCCAATCTCCCAATTCATCCCACCACCACCACCCCGCCGCTTTCCCCCCTTGGTGTCCATACATTGTTTCTCTACTTCTGTGTTTCAATTTCTGCCCTGCAAACCGGTTCATCTGTACCATTTTCTAGGTTCCACATATACTGCAAGCCTAAACTTGTCCCTTGTCTTTCCTTGGCAGGATGCTGCAGCAGCTATCGACAACATGGTATGGCTAGGAATCCTCCTTCTTACAGAAGTTGCTTTTTGGTTGTACAGAGGGCACTTATTCATACATGAGTTTGCTGAACCTCCAAAGTTACAAGGTTGCATGGGGAAGTACAGATTATCATCATATGAAAATATTCACTGTGAATTGATCGCTTTTGATCAATTTGATAATAATGTAAATGCTGACCATCCTTGTTGACCAGCCTCTCACTGGCTGCCCGAGTCTAGGATAGGAAATTGCAAACACAATGCAAATTGATTGCACAATGAAATTGCATATTTTACAAAAGAGGCAGGATTTCATGAAGTGTTAGACCAGTTAACAATTGAGAAGAGAAATTCGACAAGAATAAAGATAGGTTATGCTACTGATGCAAGTGATTGGAATAGCCTGGAGAGCTCCTTGGGGAAAATGATGTAGCTCTTGAGTATGTATTCCCTCTTCAAGATGCTTATGATTTTCACATCAGATAAGAAATGCAAAAATATCATACTGATATTTTGATAGTATTTTGTTGGAAAAATACTACAGATTAATCAGCATCCATTACATCTTTGTCCTATAAATTAGCACATAAATCGAATTAAACCTGAATTTTAACTATAAGAAATTTATTTTCATTATTTTTAGTTTCATCACAGTAAATTCCCAATCAATCTTTTTTCCCTTCACTTTTTACCATGAAATTTTCTTCATTGCCTTAAGTGAATTCACATTAAGTGACCTTTCCTGGTACCAGTTATCTTAGGATAATAAGGTTTTCCTTTATTCCTGTTCTCTGTTTCCCATTCACCAAACATATTCCTCAGCTCTCAGAGAGAGAGAGAGAGATCATTTCTCACCACTTAAAGCTGATCTTGACTTTTGAAGGTGAACTCGGGTACTTGGAAACTGCATTTATCCTTGTAATTTCAGAGTGCTCTGAACCCAGAGTCACCTTTGGAAGCACAGGTCGTTGGTGGTATTGAAAGAAAGGTCAGATACATGCTACTATATATAAAATAGATGTACAACAAGGACCTACTATATACCACAAGGAACCATATTCAATATTTTATAATAACCTACAATGGAAAAGAAGTCTGAAAAAGAATATATATACATGTATATATATATGTGTGTGTGTGTGTGTTTATATATGTGTATATATACACACACACATATATATGTAAAGTATAACTGAATCACTTTGCTGTACACCTGAAACATTGTAAATCAACTATGCTTCAACTTTAAAAAAAAAAAAAAAGAAAAGAAAGAAAGGAGGTATATGATGGCTCCAGGGAGGAAATTCCCTGCAACCTACAGACTGCTTTGCAGTAGGTGCATAGCTTGGGTGCTAGGGGCTCAGGGGTTGAGGGAGAACAAGTCATGAGCTTGTCTCAGATTTTTCAGAAGGAAATGGAAAGCTGTCTGACTTTGTTTTAACCTAACAGAGTTTAAGCAGCTGGATTTTCAATCTTTTCAGAATGAGTCTGAGCTCTTTGGACGGACAATTCGTGTCAATTTGGCAAAACCCATGAGGATTAAGGAAGGCTCTTCCAGACCAGGTGAGTGGGAGCAATACAGATTCCCCATCACATCCTCCAGTTTGGCCTTGGTTGCCTTTCTGTCCCGATTTTCTTGGAAGTGGGAGCTGAATGCTACTCTGGTGGACAGGAGTAGAGCATGGTTTACATTGGCGAAGGACATGCGCCACCTTTGTGGGGAAATAAAAAGAGTTTGAGCTTCTCAGCCAAGCCAGGGTAATTGTTTGCTTTATGAGAGAAACGCAGCCTGATCTCTTACGTGTCCCCATTTTCTGAACACTCCTGGCGGGTTCCGTCAAGGGCTGGGACTGGCAAAGGCTGCATCTTTCCCTGGGGCATAGCTTTTTCACTTAGTCCTGCTAAGAGCCGGGCTTCAGGGCTGGCAGTCCCTGAAAGGTGGGAACTTTCCTTACCGTGGGAGTTCCCAAAGTGGAGTCCTCTGGCCGAGAGGGCCATAGAGCATGTTCTGCTTTGCTGACCAGAGCAGCTACTTAGCAGCTGGCTGATAGCTTGAATTTGTTCTCATTTGCCTGCCTCTTTCCTTTCAGTTTGGTCCGATGACGACTGGTTGAAGAAGTTTTCTGGGAAGACTCTTGAGGAAAATAAAGAGGAAGAAGGGTCAGAGCCTCCCAAAGTGGAAGCCCAGGAGGTGAGACTGAAGGCTGGCACTTCCCACAGGAGACTTCGTTTCTTAGGTTTTTATGGAAATTTGCAAACATATATACAAAAGCAGAGAGAATGAAAAATGAGCTTTTAGTGTTTTGGTGGAGGTGCTAATGAGTGAACTAAAGGGAAGCTTTAGGCCTCTTGTCCTTGTGCTCTGCGTGTGGAGCTTCTCAGCTCTGCCCGGGTTCTGTTCTGTGATTGCCGCCGACGAGGAGGAAGCCTGAGGTGGGGAGGGGTGGTGAGCGCACCACTGCAGCCCTCCTCATCAGTCCCCCCCGCTACTGGAGCTTCCTGTCCTGACGCAGGGGAGGCAGGGCTGGGTGGGGGTACCTTCCCGGCAGCCTGGGCACAGGTTTGAGGTTCTCCCTTCCAGACAACCCGCCTTGGCACTTCCTCCTGATTCTCGGCGTGCCTCTCTAACCATTGCCTCTCAGGCTGCCTCTCCCCTTCTTCTAAACGTTGTTCTTCTGAATTTCTTGACTCACAGCAGCCCTCTCCCCTCTCTGCCAGAACAGTGGCAGTCACTCTGATTTTGCACAGCCTCTCCTGTGCTGTTGACTTTCCTGGCCTCTGTTTCTAGACCTGAGCTTCAGACGTTTCTGCTGCAAGTCTCGCCCTCCCTTCTCTAATCCCGTTCTTCCTGTGTTCTCAAACTCACCACCTTGCCACCATCCATCCACATTGACCCAAGCCAGAAATCCAGATGCAAAGCAGAGCACATAAATGGCCCTCAGTCAGTGGAGTAACCCTAGGTCACTCTGGACCCCTCTTTAAAATAGAGCCAGAACATCGTATTCTGCCAAGTTTTTCTCTTAAATCTTCCTTGAATCCATCCTGCCCTGATTACTCCATCGTCCCAATGTAACTTCTCGTCTCATTTGGATAATTGCAATAGCTTCCTAACTAGCCTTCTGGCTGCAGTCTTGCTCTTCTCCCGTCTTTTATAAAGGCAGCTAGAATGATCTTTTTAAAGCATACCATGGATCATCTGACTCTCCTGCTGAGAACTTTTCAGTGGCTGCCCATCACCTGTCCCGTGAGATAAAGTCGCGGGGGAACTCTCCCAGCCTTGACCCTGCCCACCTCTCACCTTGTAGTCCCCACTTTACACTCTTGGTAAAACCAGTCTTTGTATTTCCCTGTATGTCTTTGCTTTTATAAAGACTACGCAAGTGCTTATTGCCTTTCCCTTTCTAGTCAGTAAATTCTGTGAGGATAGGGGCCTCGTGTTAATAAAGGCCTTGTTAATAAAAATGTGGAATGTGAGGTGGGGTAATGTGATTAAGAACATGGACTTGGTTGGGGGGTGGGGGGGCTTAGGTGTGAATTCCAGCCTCACCATTTAGCACCTCTGTGACCTTGGGCAAGTTACTGAACTTCATTGCACCTCAGTTTCCCCATCTATGAAATGGGAATGATGGTAGCACTGATCTCACAGGTGGTTGTAAAGATTAAATGAGCTGATTACCTAAAACGTTCAGAATAGTACCCTGTACATGGCAAGTACTATGTGAGTATTTGCTGTTACAACTATGCTACTGCTGTTGTTAACAGCAAATAATAGTCACAGTGTCCTCAGTGCCCAGCGTGATGCCTCAGCGAGTTTGTTAAACTGAAGCACAAACAAGAACACTTGAGTTTTCTCTTTGGAGCAAATGTGACAGCTGTAATAAATATCTCCTCTGTCCAGCCTTGTCTACTTGGAATATAAAGCAAGGTCCCAACCACCTCCATTCTGAGCACTTAGGCCCTCCTTGCTTCCACTGCAGCCAGCCTGTGGATATGCAGGGCTAAGCATAGAGGAAGGGGGTGGTGTTGCAGAAGTGGGTCTGTTTAACTGACTAAGGTGGGTGGACTTGAACTGGAAGTTGAAGTTGTTGAGAGTTTTGTGTTTTGAGCCAGAAAAGCAATGTTCTGTGACTGCAGGGGAGAGTGAAGGCGAAGCGAGCTGACGTGTCTGAGGGAGTGAGATGAGATAAAATGCCTGAGGGGTGGGGTTCCGGGTAGACGGTGCTGAGGTCTCCTGTCACTGGGTGTCCGGCTGGGGGCCATGGCCATGGCCTCCGCCTTCTGCAGCCCCATCAGGGCCCAAGGCCTTTCCTGTCGGTGCCTTGCTCAGCCCGCTTGCTGCAGTGGGTTCTGGGGTGTCTTCAGAAGAACACTCGCTCTCCTAGTCGGGGAGTCAGGCTGTTCTCTCTAACCTGGCCATTTCTCCTGCGTCTAGGGAGAGCCCGCTGTAAAAAAGGCCCGGTCAAACCCTCAGGTGTACATGGACATCAAGATTGGGAACAAGCCAGCAGGCCGCATCCAGATGCTCCTACGTTCAGACATCGTTCCCATGACAGCAGGTGAGCAGGACTCGGATCAGGATGGCCGGGAAGCTGGGAGCTGAGCAGTGAGCCTTTCCAAGGTTCTCAGTGCCTTAGTTCTTGTGTCCTTGACGTTGTTTCTGACCTGAGTTGATTTGCGGCATCTCAGATCCTGGGATCTATTAACAGATGAGTCAGAGCAGGCATTTTTGAAGCTTTAGAAGTGCTGGTTTACTACTTTTTTTAATATAAATTTATTTAATTTATTAATTTATTTATTTTTGGCTGCATTGGGTCTTCATTGCTGCACACGGGCTTTCTCTAGTTGCGGCGAGCGGGGGCTACTCTTCGTTGCGGTGCCTGGGCTTCTCATTGCGGTGGCTTCTCTTGTTGCGGAGCACGGGCTCTAGGCACGCGGGCTTCAGTAGTTGTGGCACGTGGGCTCGGTAGTTGTGGTTCACGGGCTTAGTTACTGCACAGCATGTGAGATCTTCCCAGACCAGGGCTCGAAACCATGTCCCCTGCGTTGGCAGGTGGATTCTTAACCACTGCGCCACCAGGGAAGTGCCTGGTTTACTACTTTTTAATAATAGTTTTTTATTTAATACAAGTAAATGTGTATTCATGGTTTTAAAAAAAAAGTATACACACATAAGTATATTCCAACAATATTGAAGGCAATGAATTGAAAACCTAAGTCTTTCTTTCTTCTCCACATCTAGTCCTACTCTCCAGAAGTAACTACTGTTAACTAACAGTTTTTTGAGTATTTTTCATTTGCTAAATATTGACTTCTATTTATTCTTCTTTTAATCTAAATTTTATTATATAGACATAGAGTTTAGAATGTTAATTCCACAAAACTTGTTTTGAAAAACAGCAGTGCCCCCATGTTGTCCTCCCATCCTGCCCCATCCTCCACTTTGCTGCTTCTCAGAGGCAGGCAATTTCCCCTCTTAGCTGATTCTTTTGGTTTTTACCTCCATGTTGGTAGATAACAGATTTATGTTGCTACTTTCTGGTTTTTTTTCATTTTAGACATCTATTGGCTTCCCACTTCAGAAGATAAGGAATTAGCTTTCTAAATCACCTTCCCTGATCCTTCATTCTCCTTACATTGTTACCATAATTTTGTTTAGGTCATAGGTTATTCTAACTATGTAAGCATCATACTGTGATAACTTCCTTTCATACATAGCACTTTGTTTTCCCTGGAATTCATAATTGTCTTGTTTTCACATTTGCTTAGTCTTCTGTGCATATATTCCTGAGTCTCTCCGAAATTCTCCTGCTTCTATAAATCTCTCATCATGTTCAAATACATCAGATATTCTGTCAATTTCACTGTTCCTCCTTGGAGCCTTCTGACCTCCTCTGGCCTGGACCAGTTGCTTTCCAGACACCACTGCATAGCTATTGTCATGGGATCTCCTATTTTCGCTTATGTTGGAACCTCTGTTGTCTTTTTTGGTCTATTCTCTTGTTTCGGTAGAAGACATACTTCTGTAGCTTCTGGAGAAAAGAGCTTGGAGAGTAAGTTTTTTGAGACTGATGTGTGAAAATATCTACTTTCCCACTTGATGGTTTGGTTGTAAAATTGTAGAGAAGTCTAATATTCTGATTCTTGGTCCTTTATACAAAACCTTTTTAAAATTTTCTGCCTAGAGCTCAGCTGTTCAGTATGGTAGCCACTAGCCACATGTGACTATTTAAGTTTAAATTAATTCAAGTTAAATAAAATTAAAATTCACTTCCTCAGTTACACTATCCAAATGCTTAATAGCTGTTAGATAACACTGGTCTGGAGGCCTGGAGTGTCTCTTTGTCCTGTGTTCTGAAACAGTGTGCCTTTGGAGTAGATCTCCTTCCATTCGTCATGCTGGATATTCAGTGGGCCCTATTATGTTGGTTTTCTCTTCCTGCTGTAACAAATTATCACAGACTTAGCAGCTTACAAGAACATAAATTTATTATCTTAACTGTTATGAAGGCCAGAAGGCCAACACAGGTCTCAGCAGGCTAAAATGAAGATGATGGCTGCGTTCCTTACCGGAAGCTCTAGGGGTGGATGGATCTGTTTCCAGAGACAGTGAGGTTGTTGGCAGAATTCAATTTCCTGTATCTGTAGACTGAGGTACCCATTTCCGTGTGGGCTGCCAGCTGAGGGCTGTTCCCAGCTTCTAGAGGCTTGTGGTCCCCTTCTTCTATCATCGCAGCCAACAGTGGTAGATCCAGTCCCTCTCATGTTTCTATTCTCTCCTGCCTCCTCTTCCATCCACTTCTAACTCTCTTTCTGACTATAGATGGGAAAGGTTGTGATTGTATTAGGCCCACCTGGATAATCTAGGCTACTCTCCCCATCTCAACATCCATAATCTTAATCACATCTGCAAAGTAACTTTTGCTGTGTACAGCATAACATAGTCTCATGTTCCAGGGATTGGGACATAGATATCTTTGGGGAGCCATTATTCCGCATACCACACTGATCAATCAGGACAGTCCTATCTTTTGGTTTGGGAAAATTTCCTTGGATTATTTCTTTGCATTTGTCCCTTCTGATATCTCTCTTCTCTCATTCTGGAACCTTCCTAAATGTCCTTTTTCATAGCATCCTGTGCTTATTTCATGCATGTACTGCCATTTCATCTTGGGAGATTACTAAAGCTTCTTTTTCCTATGCAGCTTATGTTTCAGGTTACTTTTGTCTGAGTTTTTAAATTTTGTTTTGCTTTGTTTGTTATTGGTCTGTTTGCTTGTTTTGGTCTTTGCTTTTCACATTAGATGCCTTTAAGACTAGGACCCTAAAAATCTGCTTGGAAACTCCCTGGATATTGGTAAGGCTTGCTGACTGAGACCTGCACTGCAAGGTGGTTCTCTCTCTCTCTTGGACCCTGGATGGTCAGTATTCCTGAGTTGTAGTCTCTTGGACAAAGCAGAGTCCACAGAGAAGACTCTAGTCTCTTGCTAGTGGTCCTGTTTACAGCTCTTTGCCATCATGGTTGGGGGGGTGGGAACAGTATATAAACTTCACTTGATCTCCGTTTGTCATTATGGTACCTCAACCCTCGGCTATGTGTAGTGCATCCCAGAGCATAGGCCCTCTGCGCTGACATACCAGAGGGTAGACCTCCAGCCGGCAGCCAGGGCCAGGGAAGGGAGAGGATCTGGGGGCTAGCTACTTTTTTAAACAGGCTTTCAACCACACTTACTGTTTTTAGAGCCATCTTCATTCTTGGCTCTGAGCTTTTGGCATTTCTGCAGCATAAATCGAATTGCTCTCGGCTTTACCAGCTTAAGCTTCAGGTTTGTTAGGTCTGCTATATCAGTTATGGCTCATCTGTTTGTCTTCTAGGTTTCAAAGATTTTTGTTGCTGTTGTCTTTTCTCTTGCTCCTATTTTTTTTTTTTTTGGTCATTTTATCCATTTTTTAAGTGTACAATTTACTGGCATTAATTGCATTCACAATGTTGTACAACTATCACCACTATCTATTTTCAAAACTTTTTCACCACTCCAAAGAGAAACTCAGTCAGTACCCATTAAACAGCAACTCCCCATTCTCCTCTCCCCTCCGCCCTGGAACATTTATTCTATTTTCTGTCTCTCAGAATTTGCTATTCTAGACATTTCATATAAATGGAATCATACAGTAGTTGTCCTTTTGTGTCTGGCTTATTTCACTTAGCATCGTGTTTTCAAGGGTCATCTGTGTATCCATGTTTTGTTCATTTTTATGACTGAATAATATTCCATTGTCTGGATAGTCCACATTTTGTTTATCTATTCATGTGTTGATGGACACTTGAGTGTTGTTTCCACTTTCTGGTTATTGTGAATAATGCTGCTGTGAACGTTTATGTACAAATATGTGTGTGTGTTTTTAAAAATATAAATTTATTTATTTATTTATTTTGGCTGCGTTGGGTCTTCGTTGCTGTGCACGGGCTTTTTCTAGTTGCAGCGAGTGGGGGCTGCTCTTCATTGCGGTGCGTGGGCTTCTCATTGCAGTAGCTTCTCTTGTTGCAGAGCATGGGCTCTAGGCTGTGGGCTTCAGTAGTTGTGGCATGTGGGCTCAGTAGTTGTGGCACGTGGGCTCAGTAGTTGTGGCTCGTGGACTCTAGAGCACAGGCTCAGTAGTTGTGGCGCACGGGTTTAGTTGTTCCGCGGCATGTGGGATCTTCCCGGACCAAGACTCGAACCCGTGTGCCCTGCATTGGCAGGTGGATTCTTAACCACTGCGCCACCAGGGAAGTCCCCAAATATGTGTTTAAATCCCTGTTTTCAATTGTTTTGGGTGCCTACCTAAGAGTGGAAACGCTGTGTCATATGGTAATTCTAGTTTGACTTTTTGAGGAACTGCCAAACTGTTTTCTACAGTGGCTGCACCATTTTACATTCCCACCAGCAACGTATTAGGGTTCTCATTTCTCCACATCCTCACCAAAACTTGTTTTCTGTTTATTATAGCCATCCTACTAGATGTGAAGGAGGATCTCATTGTGATTTTGATTTGCATTTCCTTAATGACTAATGATGTGGAGCATCTTTTCCTGTGCTTAGGGGAAGGAGCCGTTTGTGTATCTTCTTTGGAGGAATGTCCATTCAAGTCTTTTGCCTATTTATTTACTGGGTTGTTTGTCTTTTTGTTGTTGAGTTGTAGGAGTTCATTATATATTCTGGATGTTAAATGCTTAAGAGATAATGATTTGCAAATATTTTCTCCCTTTCCCTGAGTTACCTTTTTACTTTATTGAGAGTGTCCTTTGATGCACAGAAGTTTTCATTTTGATGAAGTCTAATCTGCCTATTTTTTCTTTTGTTACCTACACTTTCAGTATCACAATTAAGAAACCATTGCCAAATCCAGAGTCACAAAGAGTTGCCCCTGTGTTTTTTTTCTAAGATCCTGTTTGGTTTTTCTTTTAAAAAATTGCTTTACTGCCAGTTTAGTGTGGAACAGAGCTAGAATGCATGTGTTCACTCCTTCTTTAACTAGAATCCCCTCTAGTCCTTCAAGATGTCAGTATCTCAAAGGTTTATAATGAGCATGTCATATTTTGAAATGAAAATATGAACATTAAACAAATACAACAGTTTTTCAGAACCTAGTTAGAGGTTTCATTGGCTTGTTTTTTAACCCGGGTACCTTTTCCTTTCTCGGCGCTAGAGAATTTCCGCTGCCTGTGCACCCATGAGAAGGGCTTTGGCTTCAAGGGCAGCAGCTTCCACCGCATCATCCCCCAGTTCATGTGCCAGGGCGGCGATTTCACCAACCACAATGGCACTGGGGGCAAGTCCATCTACGGGAAGAAGTTTGACGATGAAAACTTTATTCTCAAACACACGGGAACAGGTGGGACCCGATCAGTGGCTGGTGATCGGTGGGCTGGGCTGGGGCAGGATGACTGTGTGGGGGGAGTGATGGGCTGTGGTTCTGACTGACAGGTTGGGGGTCTGGAGGGGACCCACCAGTGAACAGAGGAGAGGCGTTGGGCCTGGCTAAGCAGAGTGAGCTTGTTTCCATTCATGTACTGCCCGTCCCCCCACCACATCCGCACTCCCTGTTGGCCTAGCTTACATTCTGTGGTCGGCCAGTGTAAGCCCTTGTCTTCCCTCAGCCCCACTACCCGCCTCGCTCTGTCAGGCTCATCCAGTAAAAAATTTCAGTGCTTGGTCCCCCAGCAACTAGAAAAAACACAGAACTGTACTGAAATTTATGACCGAAGCTCTGCAGGAGGCCCTCGGCAGCTGTACTAGATACAGCTCCCTAGTTAACACTCAGTCCTGGTCAGAGATAACAATTCCATCCCTTCCTTCATCCCGAAGCCTCCACGTCACCGTCTGCCTCAGCTGATGCTTGGCCTCCTGCGTCTGTCCACACATGCCCGCTCTGACTTCCCTCCAAGTACAGGGGTTGGGCTGTCTTCCCTCTGCTCGTGGCCTGGACCCCTACTCCTCTCCCCTACTTCGGAACCTGGCTTCTGTGGATGTGCCCCTGCAGCCTTGTGTAATGCATTTCCCCTGCTCTGCTAGATCAGTCCATCAGAGCAAAAGTGCGCAGCGTCAATCTTTCAAAAAAATCTTTGACTCATGTACCCCTCAGCTATCACCCATGCCTCTGGTCCCTATTGTAAGCAAAACTTCTTGAAAAGGTTATGTAGACTCCCTGCCTTCCATTCTCTCTGTCACCCTCTAGACAGACTTCTAGTGCCACCTGTCCACTGAAACCACTCTTCTCAAAGATGCTAGCAGCCTCCATCTTGCCAATAGTCAGTTCCTGGTCCTCATTCCATTCCCCTCCCAGCAGCATTTACGCTCCTCCCTCTACTACCAGACGTCCTGAGGGCCGGGAGCAGGGTGGAGGGGGTCGATGTGGTCGTTCTCTCCCCCAGGCCTGCTCTCCATGGCCAACTCTGGCCCAAACACCAACGGTTCCCAGTTCTTCCTGACATGTGACAAGACGGATTGGCTGGATGGCAAGCACGTGGTATTTGGGGAGATCACGGAAGGCCTGGATGTCTTGCGGCAGATTGAGGTGGGCAGCCGCCCGGGCCCCTGGTGCACAGCCATGTGGGAGGGCAGGAGCGGGGGCTCCGGGGCCTGGAGAGAGAGGCCACGGCTGCTGCTGCTGGAGGGGGTGGGGGCAGGGGGCAGGGGGGCGGGGTGGGGCAGGTATCCTGAGCTGCCCTTTCCTCTCCACCCTCCCTCCCTCCCCTGATTCCTCCTCTTCTGTTTTGCCTGCAAAGGCCCAGGGCAGCAAGGACGGGAAACCCAAGCAGAAGGTCATCATCTCCGACTGTGGGGAGTACGTGTGAGAGGGCAGCTGTCAGCCCGGGGAACCGGCAGGCAAGGTGTCCCGTTTGCAGCAAGCAGGGCTTTGTGTCCTGGCCCTTCCTTGGGGTCAGCGTGGGGCAGCTCCTCTGCAGGCACGGCCTGGGCCGCCTCTGGCTCTTCCCCAAGTGGGGCCGTGGGCTAGGGTGCTGCCCTCCCCACCGTGGACGGCTGTGCGTGCCCTTTCCAGGCCAGGGCCTCTCCTGGGCCCACCTGTGTGGATCCTAGACATTTTCTTCTGGTAAAATAAATTCTATTTTTTTGTACTGCTGCCTCCAGCTAGTTCCTGGGAGTTGTCAGAGGTTGCATCTAAAGCTAAACTGCCCCCTGAGACAGGTTGGTGAAGGAACAGGAAATAGCGTCTTCCCCACGGCTTTTCTTTCTTCCCTCGGGCAATTCCCTGAGATGTCGGGTGCTGTATCTTCAAGCCAGATACCCTTGTCAGACCATTGTCAAGACCATGGGAATCAAAGACAGTGAAAAAGTTCCTATCTACAGTGCCTCCACTCCCAAATCGTGCTGCCAGTCTTGTAGCCAGTGGGTGTACTGCTCAGTCTCCGTGATTCATTTGCTCATTTGCTCACTTTCATTCTACAGGTTTTTTAAATGATATTTTATTACTCAAAATGCCTTCTCCATGCCAGGTACTGTACCTATTTGTCAGGAGACAGGAGGTCAGCAAACCCATTGGGTCTAATCCAGCCCACTGCCTGTTTTTGTGAATAAAGTTTTATTGGAACACAGCCACACCCATTTGTTTACATATTGTCTGTGGCTGCTTGCTCACTGCAGTGACAGAGTTGAGTAATTGGTGACAGATACTGTATGGTCCCTGTATTAGAGTTCCCAGAGAAACAGAACCAGTAGGGTGTGCGTATATGTTCATAGAGAAAGAGATTTAGTTCACGGAATTGGCTCTGCAGTTGTGCGGGCTGAGAAGTCTGATAGCTGCAGGGCAGGCCAGCAGGCTGGAGCCCCAGGAAATAGTTGATGTTGAAGCTTGAGTCCAAAGGCCATCTGGAGGCAGAATTCCTCCTCAGGTGATTCCAGTCTTTCTGTCTTAAGGCCTTCAATTCGTTGGATGAGGACCACCCCCGTTATGGAGGGGTCATCTGCTTTACTCCAAGTCTACTGATGTAAATGTCAATCACATCTGAAAAATACCTTCACAGAAACATCCAGACTGGTGTTTGGCTAAAAAGTTGATACCATGGCTTAGCTATAGACACAAAATTAACTAATGCCATCCCAAAGCCTAAAATATTTACTATCTGAACCTTTGCAGAAAGTTTGCTGACCACTGATGAGGCAAGTGGTCTCACCCATGCTGAGCTCACAGTCTAGTCCCTGTGTGCAGCCACTTCCTGGAGCTCAAGTCAGGCTGGCTTCTCTCCGCTCCCCCTCCATGGACTGGTCAGCCAAGTGGCTTTAAAGGAACCCTGACCTGCTGAAGGCACTGAGCAGAGACTGAGCCCTGTAGCCACGAGATACCACCCTGTGGCGTGGGGTTACTCAGACCATTCAGAGTCTACCCGGCTGGGCTTTTACATGTTGAGTAGAAATCTGGACGAGGCAGGGGTGGGGCCTGTTGTCCCCTGGCCCTGGTGGCCCCAGGAGAGCTCCTGTCGAGGGATGATGGCACTCTGGCTCTACCTCTGGCTCCCGTGTGCTGAATGGACTCCTGGCCTCGGCTGAGCCCCCTTGGCTGCAGCTGACCAGGTTTCGGTCTCCTCGGGCCTCAGATGTGCCACAGTTACCCCTGATCCTTATGGAGCTGCCAAAAGAGACCCCCCCACCTCAAGGCCCAGGTGCCCCCTCTGAGTGCAGACTGTGGCCGTCACAGGTCTGTCTACCTGACTGCCCACAGCGTTAGGGCAGGCTTTAGTGAAGCAGGGTGATGACAGCAACTTCAGGGCTTTTATAAGAGCCAAGAAAGGGTATGTATGAAGAGCTTAGTACAGCCAGCCCCCCAAGAGAGGACTGACACCTGATAGCCTAGCGAGGTTGAGACCAGCCAGCAGATTGCGAAGCTCAGTGGGTTTGGAGCTACAGTGGCCTTCCCAGTGCCCCTCTGGGTGTCCACAGGTGTTAACTCACTGTTTCCACACCAGAACCCCGTGCAGAGGTCAACCAAGGCTCAGGTGACATGACTGTCCAGGTCCCCCAGGATGACATGGCAGAGCTGGGGTCGGAAGCGTGGCCATCTCCCCATCAGTCATAATGGAGTCCTGGGGTGTTTCCTGAGCTCTAGCCTCAGTCTACAGCAGGGCAACCCCAGGCCTGTGGGGAGACAGAGTCATGGTCTCCATGGTTGGTCTGGGCTCTAGTCTGCCAGGCAGGACAGGGAGCCCAGAGTCTGGGAGCAGTGGCCCAGCCACCTCGCTCAACCAGTCACAGCACAGCACTGACCCTCTGTTGATCAGGAGGGCTCTGGCTTGTGGGAAGTGGACCCGGGGCGCTGTGGGGCCTTTGCTGCAGGCTGAAGGTCAAAGCTGCCTTCCTGGGACTGCCTGGTCTCCCCGTCCACGTTTCCATTGCCCTGTTGCTCCAGCACCAGGACTGAGAACACGGGGCTTGGCTTTGCTCATGCATCTCCTCACTAGCTCCTCCAGGGCCGGGCCCCATCTGTGCAGGCCCTGTGACGGCTGCATGGAGGAACAGACCTGGGGCTGTAGCCCTGGGACCAGTCCTGTGACTGCTGGACTTTCTCACAGCGTGTCTGCTCCAGATGCTGCCAGCACAAGAAAGAGGTTGTGGGACCTACTTTTTAGTGGTGAAAACTGAGTCTTACGGAGTTAGGTGATAGAAAACTAGACAGCCATATTTTCAAAAAATATTTATTAACAGGGAAAATTACACCATATAATAAAACGGGAAAAGCACATCTAAAGCAGTTTATATAATACAGTATGATCCCAATTTTGTACAAATACCTATCTGTAATATGTAAACATCTATATTTTATATGTATTCTAAGAAAAAAGCCTAGAAATAAATTCAAAATTTTTCTAGCATGTTTATCTGACTTAGAGGATTATAGTGATTTGAATTTTTATTTTTTTCCAAACTTTTCTCCAAAACTGCATTACTTTTGTAATAAATGAAAAGCACATTTTTTTAAAAAGTGGGTCAAATGCTCACAAAAGGCCTCCTCATAAGGAATAACACTTGGGATGGACAACCCCTGTTTAAACTGCCAAAAGGGCACCTGGTGGTGCTGAGTGCCCTCAGCAGGCCACTGGGATCCCCTTGTCTCTGGGAACACAGAGCACAGTGTCACAGCCCTGGCCTGCATAACTGGGCACTTGTCCCAGGCCTTTAAAGCAGGTGAGAACACAAGTCCTGCCCTCAAAGGATTGCGGTGGGAAAAGCACAGCTCTGAAATAAAACACCACAGGATACATTCCGGGAGGAGGAGAGGTTTAGTGGACAAGCACGGAAGGGGCTCAAAACTAGCAAATTCATTTGTAATAATACCAACAGGTACCAGCTGTTAAGCATTTACATGTCAGATGTCCTAAATGTTTGTGTCCACATATGATCTTTTTTTAAATAGCTTGGAAGGAAAGCCAGTATCCTACTCTACAGAGGAAGAAGAACCAGTATTCAAATCCATTTGGCTCCAAAAATCTGTACTCCTGCTGTGCTGCCTCTTTTCCTATTTCTTAGGGATTTTTCCAGAACATGTTACTACCTATCTTAGTTTGAAGACAGTGAACCTCACATTATGATGACTTGGTCTTGAGGCTGGGATTGCACTGCAAACACCAAAACTGTTGTGCATTTCACCTTAGCCTTTTTTTCCTACGTGTCCTCCCTGCCTATCAACTGTCACTGATTTCTTACTGCTGTCAGTGGGTCTGAATTGACCACCCTTATTTATTCTAGTCTGGCCAGGTAAACAAGCCAGGCCCTGAGCAAGGGTACTGCAGCTGCAATGCTTGGCTAAGCAAACAGATAACTCTCGGGATAACATACATGGGCTTTGTGTCCATTCACAACTGTTCCACTCCTCGGGGCTTTTCCTATTTGATTTCATTTGGTAACTGGATGGCAAAAGTTGCTGGAAGTCTGACAGCCAGGTACATAAGCAATAACTTACTGTTTTTCAGTTGTTCTGCTTGAAAAAGTGTTGTAACTCCACTCCTGCTGTGCACAGCTTGATTGGTAGATGAGGTGTACTCCATATCTACCAACCTTTGGATAATATGACAGACATTCTTGGTGTACCCGACCAAGCTAATCACTGGCTGGGCCTAAAAATACCAAATTAAAAAATTGTCGGGGCTTCCCTGGTGGCGCAGTGGTTGAGAGTCCGCCTGCCGATGCAGGGGACGTGGGTTCGTGCCCCGGTCCGGGAAGATCCCACATGCCGCGGAGCGGCTGGTCCCGTGAGCCATGGCCGCTGAGCCTGCGTGTCCGGAGCCTGTGCTCCGCAACGGGAGAGGCCACAACAGTGAGAGGCCCGCGTACCGCCAAAAAAAAAAAAAAAATTGTCAAAAAAAATAAAAAATTAGTTGTCAATTCCATTTTAATGGTAGTCATTGATGAAACT